TGAACTAGGGATGCTGTGTGATAGTCTGATTAGAACCCTGCAGAAGACTCTAGAGAAGGCTGGGCTAGGATGAAGGAGCTGGCAGAAGGCCAAGGCACTGCCTTCCTAATGTGATCTTAGCCAATCAGAAAAGATTCCTGGTGACGCTTTTGTTGCCAAATGAAAAGCCTGTGTGAAGAGGCCTGGGAGAGCTGGAAATCCCCTGTGTGACAGACTTCCCTCACAGCCCAGGACAGAGCTGAGGCGCTTCCCCCTTAGGAAGGGAGCAGGAGAGGCAAAGCCATCAGTTTATGTGTGGAGGTCTGAGGTGGGGGTGAGGACACTGAGAGCACCCATATCCCAGGTCCCTGTATGACCATGTTTGTTTGTCAACCGTTCCACGCTGAGTTTGATGATTGTTTATGCTCCCTGCATAGGCTGAGGAGATCTGTGTCCACCCTGAGCACCACAGCTGCTGGGAGCCCAGGGCCGTCCCTCCTGGTTCTCTACATCAGTGTGTGCAGTGTGGGCCCCAGCAATGCTGCAGTTCACCTGTGCTGCCAGAGCCCGCACGGGATGTTCTTGTTGCTCCGTCTCTACCCCTTTCCCTTCTCCCTGGTCAAGTCTGCTTTTAGGTCCTGTCCCCTGTTTAACTAGGATCTAAAACGACAAGATAGCATCATGGGAGGAAGGAGAGAGACTTAGTGTTTAGTCACTGGTGTTACCAGGCACTGCTCCACTGACTGATAAGTAGACTCGGTAGTGTGTGCGCAGACCTGAGGAGACAGGGTGGGAAGCACACACTGATCACTGACTCTAGGGCTGGCACCGCATGACAAGCCTGTGAGCAGTCGTCCTGAAGCAGCTGCTTCACATCTTCGACCTTTTGTCCTTGACACACAGGTGACTGCACGTGGAGTCCTAAGAACTTATGGTTGCCTTTGATGACATTGTGGACCTATTTCATGGTTGTGGAGGATTTAAACAGCAGAAGAATTTATAAAAGTTGGATTCATTAACTTCTCAAGTACTTTCACTGGAATATCATGAATGCAATAGATTCCTGCATGAGGAAGATTCCTGAGTTAGCAGGGCTGGGCCACACACTGACCTGCTGTTTCCAACACTCTCACACACAAATTTTCATTATTAACCTTGTTACATCACTCTTTCCTGTGTGCCCAGGAAGATTTAGGTATACAGTAAATGTGGTTTACATTTTACAAGAATTCCAAGATTAGAAAGATTTTAGTGACTTGTTGTCTCCCAAGAACTCTGCCTTCTCATCTGAGGCTTCTCAGTGTCAGACATGACAAAGGACAATCTCTGTCTCCTAATATATAGTTTCTATTAATTCCCTATTAATTCCCTCAAGAATCACAGTAGTTTTAAAGTAACTATCTCAGAGTTGTCTGTACTTGACTTGTTTTTCTCTTTTGTCTCTTTAAACCCCACACACAGGCAGTCTGCAGTCTGGACAGCTTTACCCTGTACCTGAGAGGAATTGTCACCTCAAATGTTCACCCAGTGGGGCTCTATGCAGATACAACCATGCACAGCACAGAGAGCCTTTGTAAACAATGTCTGCCTAGAGACAGATGACACGCTTCAGCTCGGGTGCTGATTGGCTCCTCTCCTGGGATCAACCCAGTACTCAGAGAGGCTTCTACAGATTTTTGCTCTCTGAAGGGCACAGCAGGTGTGCGTCCTGGAGACTCCCATTACCTTTTCCTTCGAGATGGCTGTGCAGGTCCCCAGCTTCCTCCTCACAGCAGCTGTGGTGCTGATGGTGCTGAGCAGCCCGGGGGCCGCGGGCAGAGACTCCCCAAGTAAGTGCGGGGCAGGGCTCTCCAGAGCCAGCACTCTGGGAACAGGCTCTGAGGGACGCATTTGCTGGAATGCGTGTGCGGGCGGGTAGGTGTGTGTGTATGTGGGGGAGGCTGATGTTTTAAGATCCCGCTTTAGAAGTCTTTTATCATAGATTTCCTTTCTTCGAAAAGAGGACAAGGCTGCATTCTCATTTCTGTGTTCTAGAATTGAAGTTAGGATCATGCCCACTGCACAGGCTGAGGCTGGCATATTAAAAGTAGGAGACAGAGTTTAAATATAATTCCCACGACAGGATAAAGGGAGCTTGGGGTTATGTTTGAGGAAACAGCAGGGTTAGCATAGCAGCCCCTCCAACCCACCCCGGACACCCCCACCTCCAGCTCTCTGTCTAGAGGAAATGCTACATCGTGAGATGGGAAACACGGGTCAGTGATGCTCTTGGAGTCCTGGTATTTGAGGAAAATTTCTGGTGTGGAATGGAGGTTTAAGGGAGGCAAACTCTAGGCATCCAACCCTGAGAGAACAGCAGACAGGAGTCTAAATTTCTTCAGCAAATGGAAGTTGAGGACTCTGGGTTGGTAAATTGATTTCCCAGAAAAAGTCAGGCATAGAAGGGAAGTCTGTGATACACAGGGAGACCCCTCAGTTCAGAGACAGGGGAGTGCTTTATCTACTTCATACAGAGCCCCCGCCCTACTACTGTTTGTGTGCAGTTTAACTTCCCTAGGCAGTTATTCTTAAAATGCTCCCTTCTGTGAGTTCCAGGACAGCCAGGGCTGCCCAGAGAAACCCTGTCTGAAAAAGAGAGCAAACAAACAAAAAGATCCTCTGCTGAGTCACAGGCACAGGCAGGCCTGCAGGTCACCTGTCTTCCAGCTGGGGCTCTCTTTGAGAATAAATGCCCCCTAGGGTCTGGGAGGTCAGGACCCTTTACACACAGGAGAGAATCTCACGTGGTTGTGTTGGGGTATTTTACTTTTGATCATATTTTTATTAGTTTGTTGAGAATTTCATACAGTGCATTATGATTATATTTACTCCCACTTCAAATCTCCACCCAGACCCTCTCTACCCCTGTTGTGCCCAGATTACAACCCCCAGAGAGAGACCACCAGAGAGGCCCAGACTGTAATAAGCAAGGTTTAATCAGCATAATACAAACATGTTTGGAACTCATCTCCATCCCCGTTACAACATGATAGAGAGGAGTTGTATCTCCTCTGTGGGGTGAGCTTTTAAAGGCACAACTACAAAGAGAATCTTTGAAGATGCTTTGGCACTGGTACAAGGACTTTTGCTCCCTCCCATTCTGTTAAGTCAGCTTTTTCCTTGTTCTTAGAGCAAGGCCACTGTTCTTGAGTTAGGCCATCTTTATCAGCCTGAAGCAGGTAACTGGCTGGGCTGAGCTAAGTGACCTTGTGCTCAGAATCTCCTGGGTGGGAGAGGGGAAGGCCACTATCCTCCTGGGAAAACATTCTGCTAGGAAATTTCTTCTTGCCCCTTTGAGAATAAGGGGTGAGGGTCCCACACCCCACCCAAGTTTGAATGTTCCCGTTAAAGAATTTTTGTTGTTGTTTTCTTTTTTTCTTTTTTCTTTTTTTTCTAAACAGGGTTTCTCTGTGTAGCTTTGCAATCTGTCCTGGAACTGACTCTGTAGACAAGGCTGGCCTCGAACTCACAGAGATCTTTGTGCTTCTACCTCCAGAGTGCTGGGATTAAAGTTGTGTGCCACCACTGCTTGGCAAAAAAAAATAAAAAATAAAAAATAAAATAAAATAAAATAAAATAAAATACAATTGGTGCTTCCGGGAATATTCTTGTCAGGAAGAGTCAGTCGCTTGACTGAACACTTCTTTACTCAGAAGGAAGCTTCTGTTAGTTACTGTCTGGGAGCTCCGTGGAGACCGGGTTCACACAGAGTCCCGACCCCTCTAAAGCCGGGCGGGGTTCCCTCCTGTCCGCCCGTCCTGAGGCTCCGAGGTCCCTAGAGACCGCGTCGTCCCAGGCTTCAGCGCCGCGCGGGGTCAGATCGTGGGCTCCGGGGGTCTCCGCTGCCCGCGCCGCCCCAGGGCTGACCGCGTCCGTCCGCAGGGGATTTCGTGATCCAGTTCAAGGGCCTGTGCTACTTCACCAACGGGACGCAGCGCGTGCGGGGTGTGGACAGATACGTCTACAACCGGGAGGAGTTCTTGCGCTACGACAGCGACGTGGGCAAGTTCATCGCGGTGACCGAGCGGGGGCGGGGCATAGCCGAGGACTTCAACAGCCAGAAGGAGATCCTGGAGCAGAAGCGGGCCGAGACGGACACGGTGTGCAGACACAACTACGAGAAGACGGAGGTCCCCACCGCCCTGAGGCGGCGTGGTGAGCGCAGGGAGGGTTCGCGGGGAGGCGGCGGCCCTTAGGTGCATGGGCCGGAGGGGACACCGCAACCAGGGTTCCCAGCAGGAGGAGCTGCCACAGCCTCCTTTTTGTTTACCCAGCACCTCCCTGGGGTCTCCCTCCCTTCTCACCTTTGCCCTTTGACCTGTGCGGCCCACCCAGCGCCAACCCAGGGAAGTTAAACAAGGGAAAGGCCATGATCCTGTAATGTGTTTTAACTTTCGGTGCAGAGTAGTTATTCACCGCTAATCTGTTTCCCTGATTGCCCCTTTGAGACCGAGTTTGTGTGTCGTGAGGCTGTTTGCTCCCTGGCACTGACCTGAAGCCTTTTCTGTTATATTTTCTCTGAAGTAGACTGTGTTGACTTGGACCATACTAAAAGTTTGTGATACAAAATCTGAGGGGAAAGTACTAAAAACGAGAGAAGAGGCCTTATCATTGGACCCCTGAGGTTGGAGTTACAGACAGTAGAGAGAATGATGCTGGGGACTGAACCAACATCTTGCAAAAACCCTTGCAAGAGCAGCAAGTGTCCTAACCGCCAACTCTCTCCAGCGTCGCCCCCCTCCTAACTTGGGGAGAGGACCTCTGCACTTTACCACCCCCACCCTAGAACTAGCAGTTACTTTAAGGGGTCCTGGCTCCATTTTATGGGGGAACTGCCCTATCCTGCATGAAGCCGTTGCTATGTGTGTTACTTTAACTCCTCTCGGGGACAGTGCTGGGATGCTCTCTGAAGCTTTCACTCAAGCTGAATTCCCCTAGACTTTGCCTTCTTTGGCTCATTTCCTCTTCAGCGCACTCCCTGACGCTCTGAGGCATGTTAAAGAAGCATCGTGTCCAGATTTACTATTGTATATTACAACTATATGAACTGTTAACTCAAAGTTGCTTATGCTTTTCGGGTGACCTTGTTATTCAACTGAAAGAGTCCATCATTGTTCGGTCCCATTGGGAGTTAATTCCTCCCAGCAAGGGAATGCAGTGAAGGCAACGGTAATTAACGCACTGGACTGTGGGAAAAAAGGGAGGGGGAATGAGAGAGCATACTATGTCCTCAATTCATGAAACATATTAAGTATGTACACTGTTTTCACCCAGAATGGATAAAGAAAATGCAGGGAGATGACTTCTGGGGTAGCGGGCACGGTGTATATATAAAGTCAGTCAGGAAAGATGTCTGTGCAGTTGTGCATGTCAGTCTTAGCGAATGAAGTACTTCCTTCATGTACTGGAGTTATTTTTGAAGATTTTTTTTCTTCAAAAATGGTAGACTTGAAGAAATCACAATCATTTTCTTTTGTCTTAATACATTTCATGTTATGTAAGAGCAGGGCCACTCACTCTTCTTTTCCTAGTGACTGCTAAGTTTATATTTGGGAGTTGGTCTTCATTAAATATTAGAGCCCAGGCCCAGGCATCCCCACCTGCCTCTTCCCCATGGGGACCCTCTACGTGCCCCCCCCATCTCACTCACCATCTTTTCTCATCTGCTCCCCAGAGCAGCCCAAGGTGGCCATCTACCTGTCCAGGACAGAGGTCCTCAACCACCACAACAGGCTGGTCTGCTCGGTGACAGATTTCTACCCGGCCCACATCAAAGTGCACTGGCTCCGGAATGGCCAGGAGCAGACGGAGGGGGTTGAGTCTACACAGCTTATTCAGAACGGGGACTGGACTTACCAGGTCCTGGTGATGCTGGAGATGACCCCTCAGCGGGGAGATGTCTACACCTGCCACGTGGAGCACCCCAGCCTGCAGAGCCCCGTCACTGTGGAGTGGAGTAAGGGAAACTTTCCTTTTACTGTGGACTACACATGACATGGGTTCCTTGTTGTTGTTACCCCATCCCTATGATGACATCACCTTAGCCCTCCAATGCCGTCCACCCAACCCCCAATGCCACCCTTTCCATCTCCCAATACCACCTACCCTATTCTACAATACCATCTACCCTATCCCTCTAATACCACCCACTCCCATCTCATGTCCTGATTAGTCTGATTCCACTACTGAGTTGAGAGCTACAGGACACAAGATCTCTTGCCTCATAGTTAGAGAGCAGGAAAACACTGACCTCATTGTCTTTCCCGGCAGTAGTTCTGGGAGATCACTGCATACACTGGGAGCTCATCCCTAACATCCAGAGGAATCAGCAGTGATAGCTAGTGCCTGGGTATTTTGGACCAACATATGTCTGTGTGGTGCAAACATCCACCTAGCCTCTCCCTCTCACAGCTGCTTCTAGATCTCTTATCTGGAGACCCCTATCCATTCTCCTGGTCACTGTGTTCAGATCTTCTGGCTCATCCTTGCCCTGGATAGGGTCAGAGCAGAGACCGGGTCCTCCCAGCTACTTCACCTTTTGCAACTCAGGAGGACTTTAGGCTCTCAGAGCTGTTGGGATGTGTGGGGACAAAGCTGACACCCAGGTTCTGCTCCCCAGGGGCACAGTCTGAGTCTGCCCAGAGCAAGATGCTGAGCGGCATTGGGGGCTTTGTGCTGGGGCTCATCTTCCTCGGGCTGGGCCTTTTCGTCCGTCACAGGAGTCAGAAGGGTGAGGACCCTGGGGACACAGGGGTGGTGGGCAGTGCTGAGGGGAGGAGCTGTGCTGGGGTGGGAGGACATGGGAGACCCCAGGGGGGACACTGGACTCTGATTATGTTGGTTGTGTGACTGTGCCACAGAACCATGCAGAGCTCATCCTGGAGCTTCTGTCATTGTCCACCACTTTACTGACTCCTTTCCAGAAGTTTCTACCACTGAAGGAGCATGGGCCTTGCTTTTCCCTCCTTCTGGTGGCAACTTGTTCCATTGGGGAATGTTCAGGGTCTTAGTGGACACAGATGCATTTCCTGTTGCCTCTTGGGCTGCATGAGAGAACCCCTATTTTTAATATCAAGTACTCTTTCTATGATTTCCTTTTATAGGACCCCGTGGGCTTCCTGCAACAGGTAATAATTTAGCTCTTATCTGGGGGTGATGGGACAGGGGCATAGGTATAAGGGAAGGGCATGAGACAGGTATACCTGACACAGTTTTAGTTCATAGCCTGTCTCTGCTGTGGGTTTAAGAGTGCCACACCCAGGGCCTATAGGAAGTTCCAGAGGTTGTTCCTGAGTAGGGGTTTGCCATCATCACTTGACTGGTGTCTTGAGTGAAGCCTGAGCCATGTCTTGAGGTTAGAAACAAAGATGTTGCCTGCTCTGTGCCCCACACTAGAGACCATGATCATGGGCATTTTTAGTGGTGGGAAGAGACCAACAGTCCTGTAGAGGAGACCGATCCTTCTGGTTTACCTAAAATATCAGATCCTTCATATTCCCTGGGGGTGTTGGCTTCTCTTCCACCTCCCACACTTTGTGTCCTGTAAGCTCTGTGCCCCCTTTAGCTGTTTTCACCTCTATACAGGTGATGGGGAAGGTGGTGCCATGGCCTGGACACAGCTTTCTTTGTCTAACTCAGCAGAATCTAGGAGGAGAGTCAGGCATCTCCCAGGGACCTTTTGTGACCACTCCCTCTCTCTGTTTCCACAGGGCTCCTACAGTGATCCATGAGAATGTTTTGACTGAATTTGCTGTAGGATCTGCATATCCCTACCTTCAGTTCCTGCCTGTGCCAGCCTGCCTGTCCCTCTCTGATTCATAGTTTAGCATGGTGGCAGTGTACCCACCTGCTCAGTTGTTGTGATTCCCCGACTCCCCAAGGCTCTATCTTTGGCTCTGCTCTTGGGCTGATTCCAGAGACCATTGTGTACTGCAGCACCATCTACTCAGACCCCAGGCCTTCAGTTTCCATTGTCCCATGGGACTGCTAAAGAGATGCACTGAAAACATTTGCCTCTTTTCCATAATTAAACACAATTATGAATTATGTATCCTGAACCTCCGTAACTGAGCAGGGGTGCGTGGGAGTGGTGTGGAACAAGGTGATGGAGCCAAACTGGCTGGAAGTACAGGTTTCTGCTACAAAGGTGATTGGAGGCATACTGGGCTTAGACTTTTGTTCTTCAGTGTCCTGTTCTCACATCATCCCAGCCTCTTCTGGGTTGGTGAGGACAGTGCAACTAAACACGGTAAAATTGTTGGGGGACAGATACTGTGACCTCTGATCACTGGTGTTCCAAATGTGTCCTGTGAAGTCACATTGATTGGGGCTGACTTTCATTTTTTTTTTTAAATATTTATTTATTATGTACACAATATTCTTTCTGCGTGTATGCCTGAAGGCCAGAAGAGGGCACCAGACCTCATTACAGATGGTTGTGAGCCACCATGTGGTTGCTGGGAATTGAACTCAGGACCTTTGGAAGAGCAGGCAATGCTCTTCACCACTGAGCCATCTCTCCAGCCCCTCTACTTTCATTTCTTAAGAGTAGGTAATACACTTTAAATTACTATTTTTTATATTTGTTAAAAATTGTATTAGTCACCAGTCCTGGTGACATACACTTTTAATTCTAGCACTCAAGAGGCAGAACCTGGAGGATCTCTGTAAGTTCTAGGCTAGCCAGGTTTACATAGTGAGACCTTATGTCAAAATAACAAACAGCAAAAACAGGCAAAACAACAACAACAAAAACATCTAAGCACCTAGATTGTTTTCTACCTTGCAGCCGTCCCACTTGGAAAGATAAGGATTTGCTGGGAGTCAGTGGTAGCTCTCTTTCAAGAGCAAAACCTTCCAGTGGCTCCATGTTTTTGGTAACGCTTCCATGCCGTAAACAATTTAGG